GGGGACGGGGCGGGGACGGGGCGGGGCCCGGCGGGCGGGGGTACTCACTGAGGACGATGAGGATGCCCAGGACGAAGAGGATCCCGGCGATGATCAGGCCGCCGATCCGCAGGGATCTGTAGTCTGTGGGCAGCAGAGAGGGGGGTGAGGGCGGGCAGGATAGGAGAGAGGGTAGGAGAGCGGCAGGGAGGAGGGATCGGGGACGAGGGATCGGGGAGGAGGAGGAGAGAAGGGAGGGCAGTGAGGGGGTCAGGGAGAGGAGAAGGGGCAGGAGGCAGCAGCGCGTGGGCCAGGAGGTGCGTGAGGGACCGAGGCGAGAGGAGCGGTACAGAGAACCCCAGAGAGAGGTCAGACAGACAGACAGAGACAGAGAGACAGAGAGGGGCGAGACCAAGGCTGGAAGAGGCAGAGAGCCAGAGCCAGAGAAAGGAGATGACAGGGATATGAACACTGCGAGGGGAGAGAGAGAGGAGGAGGAGGAGGAGGAAGAAGAAGGACAGGACAGGCAGACCCAGGCCCTTCCCCCAGACCCCTGAAGATAGACGCCCCCCTTACCATAGGTGAATGGGTCATATTCCTGTGAAGCCTCTGGAAAGAGAGAGAAACGAGGGGTTGAATGTTTACTGGAATCCTGGACAGAGAGGGGCATTAAGAGACCTTTTTGGACTCTCTCTTCTTGGGCTGAGAGTTTGGGGGCGATTGGACCCTGGGAAGGCTGCCCACCCTCTCTGGGTCCTGGCTGCCCCCCTGCACCTGTCCTGGGCAGGGCAGGGTCACCTAACTCCTCCACCTCCCTAACTTGTTCATTACAGGGTGTCTATGAGTCCATCACACAGTCAGGGAGCCGGCCTCCATCCCACCCCCCGACCTTTGGTTGACCTGGAGTGTCATCTCCCCTCCTCCAAATGCCAGCCTGTGACTGGACCCCATGTGGAGACCCCCAATTTCCTCATACACTAACTGACTCAGTTTAGGATGGCATCTCCAAGTTGTTTTTCTTGTGGGATTTCCCCTACCCACGCCCCCCTTGAGGCTGAGGTGGGTAGTGGGCCATGTCCCCTAGACTCACCTGCGTTAGCCATGGTGAGGAGACCCATATAGAGAACCAAGATATGGCCAAGAGACACCATTGTCCTGGGGGGACACCAAGGGTCAAGAAATGTGCACCCTCGTTCCCCCACCACTGGGGCCTGAATCCAAGGGATTAAGTCAGAGACAGTCCAGGGACTTAATCACAAAAGGGTCAGTATTCCAGCCTGGTTGCCCTGAGAAACAGGGGCACCCCCTACTTCACGGGAACACGGTGTCACCAAAACAGCCTACACAATGGGAGTCACACAACTACATAACACAAGCAAGGTCAGGGGTGAGACACACAGAGCACCCAGGGGTCTCCCACAGGCCTCCACCTCCCTAGGGCAGGACCCAGATTCCTCAAACCTACCTTGACAGGGGAGAGCAGGATGCCGCTTCACACAGGTGGAGATACAGACACTCTGCGTGACAGCAGAGCAGGCCCGCGGCCCACCTGCTGCACAGCACGGCCTCGCTGTGTCCAGCAAAAATCCCAGCTCTCCTGCCCTCGGCCGCCCGCCCGCTCTCTGCCTGACCCTGGGTATAAATATCTCCCACTTCACCCTGGAGGAATTCGCCTTGCACAGGCCACCATAGCAACAGCTTTTCCTTCCCCCACCTGGGGGTCACGCACAGCCCTGCTGGGGTGAGGCCTGGCTGTCTCATTGCCACAGACTGCCCCTGGGGGAAAGGCCACCCCTCTCCTCTCCTGGAAGCCATGAGAAGAGGGAAAACACCCCGTCCGCCCACTTCTGGATGACATCTTTCACAACCAGACACCACCGGGTGAGTGACATGAGGCCCAGACTAATGGGCCTGACAGATAGAAAATAGATGCCAGGGTCAGGAGTAAACACACACACACACACACACACACACACGACAACACCAGCTCCCCAAACTTCTGGTTGGAGCAGAACATGGGTGTAGACACTATCAGGCACACAGTACTCCTCATCTGGGGCTCTGTTGCCCCCCATTAGTGACACAAACAGACCTACACACGTGAGTATCCAAACCCCACATGCAGCCAGGGTGTACACGTGGCAGCAAAGAAGGGGGCAGTCACACCCACACTCCCACCCCTGCGGAACCCCAACGTCCCAACCACTCTCCCTCCCTCTGGTGTCAGGCCTGCCTGGGAAGCCACCACCAGCTGGCCACTCCTGCTTCCAAAATAGGCAGCCCAGCCAGGCGAGGGGTGAGGCCTGGAGGGGAGGGCTGGGGGACGCTCACCCCAATCAGGCTGTCCCCTGCTGAAAGAAGGCCCCCAAACGTCCGGCTGTGCCCGGGGGCTGAGCACTTTGGACCCCCTGGCCCAGAGCTGGACGCGCCGCCCCCAGCAGGCTCCCCTCCCAGCCCCACCCTACTCTGGCCCTCCCCAACCAGCGGCTGTAACTGGAGCTGGGGCTGGAGGGGGGCCAGGGGGCGGCCCCCAGCCCAGAACGCCCTGGCCCGCTTAACTCTCTCAGCTCGGATGGAGGAACAGCAGGCAGCAGGCTTGTGGGAAAGGCAGGGAGGACTGTGAAGGACTGGATTGCTGAAACCTGCGTACAAACGCACACACACACTCGCATGCACGGTGTCAGTGATTTTCTGTGCTGCTTCCTGGGAATTGGGCCCAGCAGGGGCCTAAGGTCATCCAGTCTGACTGCTCAGGAGCCCACTGACCCCTGACCCTTGCATTTGCGGGGGATATTAGTGTGTGTATGTGTGTGTGTGTGTTTGTTGTCTGCTGCTGACTGTGAGGTCTCCCAGGGATGCACACCACACACACACATACACACACACACACACACACTGAAACCAAAAGATCCAGATACACAGGCACAAAAACAAACAAATACATATATGTACATGCATATAAACATAGAGGCAGACACATACAGAATAATACAGCCACAGAGAAACCCAAAGACCTGGACATGCAGCCAGCACCTCTTATATCAGTCACAAAACACAAAGACAAACACATTTGTGTACACACACACCCATATGCACTCAGATGGGTACACACACAGAGACAGTCAAAGACATATCCACACAACTATCTACTCTTACAAATGGTCACAAAGATACACGCTTTTGTGAAGACGCACTTACAAATGGCCATACAGGAACACACCACACCACACAGAAATACACGCACCACACATAAATACATTCAAAGATACAGACAACAGCCAGCACTCCTACACGGCCTCAAAGACATGAAGGCCAACAGAGCGTGTACACACCCCACATTTCCATGGGCACACAGAAAAGCAGGTACACAGAAGAAGCACTGTCAAAGACACTGCCATACAAGCCCCTCTTACACATAACTACAAAACCAGATGCACACACCGGTGTTCACACCCCCGTGCATGGGCTTACAGACCCACAGCTGGCCACACAGTCACAGACATGCAGACGGACACACTTGTGCTCACACACTCCGAAAACACGAACATGTGTTTAACACTGGACTTGCCTTTCCCTGAGTTCATGCGGCCTCTGTGACCCTCAGGGTACAACATACCTGCCATCCTCCTGCACAGGCCAGGTTCACAGGCCCTGGTGACAGAGAAACCTGGGATCAGATCTGGGCTCTGCACTCCTGGTCATGTGACCTGAGCCTTGGGCAGCCTTGTGACCTCTCTCTGCCTCAGTTTCCCATGCTATTAAATGGAGAAATCACTAAGGTCATTTGTGTAACCCTGGGCCAGACTCAGAGGCCTCTGAATCTGACATTGTCTTATTGTTAACTCCATTTTAGAGATGAGAAAACTGAGATTTAGCAAAGTGGAGCTAATTCTCCTGAGGTCCTCCTGGTGGTTAAGGACAGAAACTGCCCCCACCTCAGATGGTCAGACACCAGCCCGGACACCATGCTCTGTAAGACACTATCAGAAGAAATTGGTCATGATCACACCCAGGCCCAGGCGTAGCCCTGCCACGCACACACACACGAGTGCACACGCATGTACACACACAAGTGTGCGTGTGGCCTCAGAGGATCCAGGCAGCTTCGAAAGTCTCCCTCATCCCTGTCTGTTGGAGCCCTCTCAGCCTCTGCCTGCACCCCAGGGTCACCAGCAGTCCCTGGTTAATGATAACCCCGATGTTTATGCAGCACCAGGGAGGGGGTCAGGGGAAGCAAGGGGACAAACAGGCGGGGGCACCTGGCCAGCTCTTAGCCAACCCAGCTTTCTTCCTTCGTAGGGCCAACCCCGGAGCACTGACCGACCCACAGTGGAGTGGCTCAGCACTTTCTAGCTGTGTGCTGTGGGCCAAATGCCTTAACCTCTCTGTGGCTTCATTTCTCTTTCTGTAAAATGAAGATAATAATCATAGCATTCACCTCAGAGGGAGGTTGGGACAATTACCTAAAATAATCCACGTTAAACAAGGAGAACGGAGCCTGACACACGGTAAGTGAAGAAAGTTAGCTGCTGTCATAGCATTGGCGTCCCCCTTCTCACTGTAAACAGAGTGGAAATGCTTCTGGGATGGCTGCTCTATGAGTGTGGGCTCAGGCCTGCCATCGTCCCCTCTGTGTCCCTGGAACTAAGCTCTTTATTTGCATTTTCAGTACCCTATAAAGTCTATCATACCCGTTCTTCAGCTGAGGAAACAAAGAGCCACGTGGCCTTGCTTAAGTCACAAGCTGCGTGTTTGCAGGGCTAGGACCTGGGCCTAGAATCTACTACCCTGCGCCGAACCCCAAGAGGATGAGTTGCCTCCATCTTATTGCTGAGTCCTTTCCACCACTGGGAAGTGGGTGCCACCATTGCCCCCACTTGACAGATGGGAAAACTTAGGCCTAGGCCTGGAACTCAGATCTGCGTGACCTCTGAGCTGGTGCTTCAGCAAGTCTCTGAGTGTGTGCTCCAGTGGGGAGAGAGGCTGTGTGTGTTCCTCAGTCACAGGGGCGAGTCCTCAGATCCCAGGCGATGAGGTGGTACGGCCTAGTGGTTAGGCCTAGAGCTGACCAGGGCCACGAAACTAATCATTTAACCTCCTTGTGCCTCAGTTTCTCCATCTGTGAAGTAGAGACGGGGTTGCTGTGAGGACTGTGTGTGAGTAAATTCATGTAAAGACTGGCACATAGTAAGTGCTCAATAAATATTACTATTATTTCAGATTGAGTGACAAGTGTCGTTTATTTACTTTTCTAATTTAATGGGCAGAACCCATCCAAATCGCTAAAAGTTTAGTCCAAATGAAAACAATCAATTGTCCACATGTCTGTGAATTCCGATCTCCAAAGAAAAAAGGCAAGTAACACGGAGAGGCTGTGGAGCCAGCTGCCTGGATATGAATCCTGGGTTACAAGCTCAGGTTACTTGAACTTGTAGCCTCAGTTTCTCCAGCTGTAAAATAGTGATGGTAATGGTGCCAATCTCAAAGGGCGATGGTGAGATGAAATTCCAGGACAAGGCCTGGTGCAAAGCAGACGCTGAAGAAATGGGTGGTATCGTTATTACCATTTCCTTAGGTTGGCCCTGCCCTACCCCCAGTGGGTGGTGGGCACTCAAGGGGTTAACTTCAGGGAAGGGGAGGAAGGAGGTGGGTTTGGGGCAGGGCAGCTGTCCTGCGAGTGTGGCCACCAGAGGGAGTAGCTGGATCTGAGCTGGCCCCTCCAAGCCTTGGTGACAGCGCCCACCACACCCTCCTGGAGCCAGGGGAGGGGGCTGGCTGGGAGTAACCAGGATGTCCCCAGCCCCCAGCGGCCTCTCCTTCCACCCCCCTCGCCAGTCTGGAGAGCCATCCGGTCCCCACCCTGGTGACATTCTCCTCAAACTCCCTGAATGGGGATTGAGTGGGAAATCTGGGGAGGGGGCTGGCTGGGAGTGGTCGGGGAGGCTCCGGCCATCCTGTCCCCTCCCCAGGGCTGCTCTTCCTATGGCCTCTCTGACCCCGTCCTCCTTCCCACCCTGCTCTGCCGGCACACTCGGTGCCCGGTGCCTGGTGCCGGTGCCGGGGAGTCCCTTCCCTAAACGTTCAGGGAGAAGGGGCGTGGGAGGAGGCAAAGGGAGCTGGAAAGGGGGGCAGGACGACGAGAAATAGAGACAACAGACAGAGGGACTCACACACACACACACACACACACACACACACACACACACACAGTCCAGCAGAGACCTAAAGAGACTGAAAAACAGACCGAGATAGAGAAACAGAAAGACAGAAATAGAGACAGAAATACAGAGGAAACAGATGAACGCACAGAGTCAAAAATAACAGAGAGAGAGAGGGACAGAAATTCAGGGAGAGGGAGAGAAATAAACAGAAAATTCGGTACGGGGAGAAGGGCAGACTGAAGGAGAGTCAGAGAGAGGAGCGAGACCCAAGGCAGGGCGAGCGCGGGTGGGACGGAGGGTCGCCTGCTGTAGGAGATGTAGTGGCCTGGGCCGGGCTGGGTGGGCAGAGAGAAGCGGGTGCCTCCCCTGGGGGGTGAGGGGGCATGGGAGGGGTGGGCATTCTGCTGCTGCTGCTGCTGCTGGCTGGGGCAGGAGCTGGGGGGACCTGGAGACCCCTAAAGGGAAAGTGTCCTCCACGCTGCTCCTGCTCCAAAGACAGTGCCCTGTGTGAGGGCTCCCCGGATCTGCCCGAGAGCTTCTCCCCGACCCTGCTGTCACTGTGAGTGTCGCCCTCTGTGGGCCTGAAGGTGGGCATGGGAGACCTGGGACCCTAGGGCTTGGGGCAGGGTGTCAGGGTCTCCAAGGAAACAGGTGCCTGTTGAGATCTTGGGAGATGGGTAGCAAAGGATGTTGGGATGTCTGCAAGGGGGCTACTGGGATTTGGAAGGGAGCACAGGGGAAATCCCAAAGGGCAGGGGCAGCATTTGGGGCCCAGAGGAAGGATAGCCAGGGGGTGGGCCGAGTGCTGCCAGGGTCCTTGCCAAGTGAGGAGGGCAAATGCTTGTCTCCCCTGGGATGTAGGGGAAGTATGCCCAGGGTCAGGGTGGCACGTGAGGGTCTCCTGGACATCAGAGGACTCTGGTTTGGGACTGGAACACTGGACTGGTGTTCTCCTCACCCACCACTGCCCACGTCCCCAGCTCACTCGTCAGGACTGGAGTCACCCAGCTGAAGGCCGGCAGCTTCCTGAGGATGCCGTCACTGCACCTGCTGTGAGTGGGGCCTGGCTGAGCTGACAACCAGCTCCAGGGAGTGGGTGTTTATGCACACGCATGTGGGGGGTGTGCACACACAGGCATGGGTGAGTGTGCATGCACGCGTGTGAGGATGTGTGCACACACAGGTGTGTGTCTGAATGAATTCATATCCGTGCACATCCTCATACCCATGTGCACACGCGTGTGCCAAGGGTGGGAGCCAAGGTTAAACTGTCAGATGGGCGGCAGCAACTCTGGAAAAATTTTTTTTTCCTCCCTTGCCAGCCTCTTCACATCCAACTCCTTCTCTGTGATCGAGGACGATGCGTTTGCAGGCCTGTCACACCTGCAGTACCTGTGAGTGAGGCCAGGGATGGGCAGATGGGCCTGGGAGGAAGAGGCGCCCCGCTGTGGCTCCTAGAGCAGGGGGAAGTAGGAGCTGTGGCCCTGGGGAGGAGGTGCCTAGACAAGGGTCCCCCTGTAGCTGCAAGAGGCCTCGCTCCTTGGGTGGGGTCAAGGCTACTGGTCAGCTCTGTAATCTTGGCCTGCTCCCTTCATCTCTCTGCTCAAGATCTACAAAGGGCCTGGATAATCAGAGACAATTTCCGGCCCTACCTGACTCGTGGGAACACAAGGAGGATGTCTACACAGAGGCCAAAGACAGGAAATGTTCCAAATTAACAGGAAACAACTCCAAGTTAGGTGGTAATAGTGTGACAAATGACACTGTGGTAGTATGATAAATGGTGGCACTGATGGCGGATAGTCGTGGCACAGGTGGTCATGGTGGTAGTGGCAAAGACAGTACGACAGTGCTGGCTCCGGTGTTAATCATGATGGCAGTGGTGTTGATCCTGTCGCTGATGATGATGGGGAGGAGGTGGTGCCATTGAGCCTGACGGAATGGGGATGTTGTTAATAAAAATGGCAGAACCAATGGTGATGGCACCATCGGTGATATTGACAAAGTTTGTGGGGCTGGTGCTAGTGATAACCGTGTGTTGTGGGGGGTGGTAGTTATGATATTGGTGTTGATGCTGGTGACAGCTGTGGGAAGGATGTTAGTGCTGGTATTTATGGCAATATTGTTGGTACTGGGGTGGTGATGATGTGGAGGTATTTGTAATCACGAAAATCATGACAGCAGTGGCGCTGGTGGTGGGTGAAGACGTGAGTGTTGGAGATAACGGTGATGCTGTAGGTGATGGCAATTCCGGTGCTAGTGCTGATGCTTATGTGATGGTTGCAGTGTTGGTGAAGATGGTGGCAGTCTTTTTGGTGTTGACCATGAAAGTTGTGTTGTTGGTGAAGCTTATCAGCGTTATTGGTGTGGGGTTGGTAGCGATGATATTGGTGTCGGTGTTGATAACGGGAGTGATTGGTAACGTTGGTGTTGGTGATGATGGCTACAGTGTTGGTGATGATGGTGGCATGGTACGGTGTTGGGAATGATGGTAGTTATTGGTACTGGGGTTGGCGATGATGATAGAGGCGCGAGTGCTGGAGATGTGGGCATTGGGTTGGTCATTAGGGATGATGGTGGAGGTATTGGTGGTGACGCTGGTGGCAGTGGTGGTGATGGTTATGGCAGTGTTCATGGTGAGGCTGGCAATGACCACAGAGCCAGGTTCATGGCCCCTGGGATTGAGGGCTGGGACCTTGGTGAGAAGTTTCTGAGGAGGCTTTCCCTGGGATTGTCCGAGGTGTTGGGGGAGAATTCGGCACCTTGCAGTGGCCTATGGCTTCCGTGGGGTGAGTTCCCCCAAGCACTGTGGGCCTACCCCTCACCCCACCCTCCCTCCACAGCTTCATCGAGGACAATGAGATTGGCTCCATCTCTAAGAACGCTCTCAGAGGACTCCGCTCACTCACACACCTGTGCGTGCCCCCACCGCCCCGCCCTCCACGACAGGCATCCCACACTCCAACACCCAGGGATGCAGGGTATCCTGGCAGCTGCTGATGGCTCCTCCTCCTCCTCTTCCTCCACCAGAAGCCTGGCCAATAACCACCTAGAGACCCTCCCCAGATTCCTGTTCAGAGGCCTGGAGACCCTGACTCATGTGTGAGGCTCAAGGGGGCTAGGAGGGTTGAGGATTGGGGCATGTTTGAGGGGGGCATGGGGCATCTGTACCCACTCTTGGTTGGTGCACATGAGAATGACTGCAATGGTTCTGCCATATTTTCATACCACCTGTGGGCACCCATTCCGGACCCTTGCCTGGGGAGAGGGCAGGGAGCATGGCCACCAGAGGGTGGAAGCCGGGTTGCAGCCCCTCCCGGCCTCTTGCCTCAGGGACCTCCGTGGGAACCCGTTCCAGTGTGACTGCCGTGTCCTATGGCTGCTGCAGTGGATGCCCACCATGAATGCCAGCGTGGGGACTGGGGCCTGTGCGGGCCCTGCCACTCTGGCCCACATGCTGCTCCGCCACCTCGACCCCAAGATGTTCAAGTGCAGAGCCATAGGTGGGGGCTTTCCCAGTAGGGTGGGAGGGGATTACAGAAGAAGATGGGATACTGGGGGAATGGCTGCCAGGGCTCAAGGGCTGACCTCACTCTCTGCCCTGCCATTTCTTGGCTGTGAGATGCTGAGCAAGCAGCACCACCTTCCTGAGCCTCAGTTTCCTCATCTATAAAATGGGGGAATAACCAGTGACATAGGATTGCTGTGACTATTCAGTGATGCGTCCATGCCTGCACAGCATTTGGCACAGGGCCTGGGATGGGAGACCCTTAAAAATGTTCAATCTTGTTTATGCAAAATTGATCACTTTAAAAATATTTCCTACATACCCAGTATTGTGCTAAGAACTGCATGTGCATCACCTCACTTATATTTACTTTTCTTTTGCTTTTTCGTGACTATATTTTGGTGCCTTTATGGAGAATGGGCAACGCAGAGAGTACAGCAGAGATGAAGAGCCCTGGGGCTTGCCCTCACAGAGCCCCCAGTCCAGAGGAAGGCAGGCCCCGTCTCGGACAGCAATAGCCCAGAACGATCAGGCTGGGATGGGGAGGCCCAGGCAGAGGGTCAGGGCTGAGACGAGGGAGCCAGGGGAGTGCAGTGCCAGGGCCAGGGCCACACAGAGCTGGAGGGACAGGAAGAGCTTCCTGAGGGTACGGACATTTGAGTTCAAACCTTAAGGGTCTTCACGCAGATGCTGTTAATACAATAATAACAACAGTTATGATTATCTAAGTGTAAGACATGTTTTTGGTCTGTGGGACTCAGAGATCGAGGGATTTCACTTATGGGTCACTGTTCATTCAGTTACTCAATATTCACTGAAGTCCACTCCGTGCCCAGCTCTGTGAGAGGTGACGGGCACACTGTGGTGACGAACATGGCCTTGAGCTCTGGTCTGGCCTCATGGGACTAACAGTCCTGGGGGCTTGGGGAGACAGACATTAAATAAAACACTGCACAAGTGAATGTGATAAATACAGGGAGTGGTAAGAGAGGGGGGGGGGGGGGGTCCTATGTTACAGGGAGGATCAGAAAAGGCTTCCCTGAAGAGGGGACCTAAGATCTTGATTTAGCCAACTGAAGAACAGAGGAAAGGGCACTCCAGAGAGAGGGAACGGCATGGACAATGGCCCTCAGGCCGAACAGAGCTCACCCTGCTTGAGCATTAAAAGAAGGCAGGTGTGGCTTATGGGGAGTGAGAAAAGGGAGGGATGCAGATGAGGTTAAAGGTGGCAGGGGTCTCACCGTGCAGATTCTGAAAGTCACAGAGAGGAGAGTAGACTTTATTCTGAGGGACATGGGAAACAACGGAGGGCTTGAGCAGGAGGTGACATGATTTGGGGGGCATTTTTATTTTTATTTTATTTTATTAATATTATTTTGGTGGTGGGCTGGTATGGGGATCTGAACCCTTGACCTTGGTGTGATGGGCATTTTTAAAAGATCCCCCTTTGGGTGGGCATCCTCGGTGTTTTGGCTCTGGCTTCAACCTTGCCACTTAGCAACAGGGCCTGGCACGCTGGCTCCACCACTAGCAAGCTGGGCAGCCTTGGTGTGCCAGTTACTATAAAAGCTCAGCTGCTGTAACAAAGAGGCTCAAAATATCATGAATTAAAGAAGACAGAAGGGTTTGAGGTAAGCTGTCCAGGTGAGTGGGGCAGGCCCTGGATATCGTCCTGGTTTTCATGGTTGAAAGCAGGTTGTGGCACGTCCATATGCTAGTGTGAGATGAAGGGAAAGAGACCAAGTCCAGGACAAGCTGTTTTCCCACAAGCAAGTGAGGCGAACATTAAACTGGTTACTTGTCACGTTCTATTAGGAACTTGGTCTGGACAAGGCCACACCTAACTTCCAGGGAGGGTGGTTACTGGGAGTGGCCTCCAGCTGGGTAGCTCTGATTGTATTTCATGGAAGATGAGATTGAAGGATGGGTTCTGTTGGACAACTGGCTTCCTGTACCAGTTTAGCCTTAGTTTCCTCCTCTGTAGAGATAATAACAGAATGTACCTCACAGGAATGTTGTGCGGGTAAATGAATGAACCCCTATGCTGTTTCTAAGGGATTATTTGAGGATGTGGCACAGCTTAGAAAATAAAGATGATCATGCCATTGTGAGTTAATACCTCTGTAGATAGAGATGCCACTCTGTATGTCCCTATGAGGTGACGCCATGAATGGTCCTCATTTCAGAGATGTGCAAACCGAGGCTCAGCGATGAGGATCCTTGGGGTCCGCTGAGCCTGCCTGACTCTCTCCTGCCACCCCCAGAGCTGTCCCGGTTCCAGACAATCGGGGAGTCAGCGTTGGGCGTGGAACCCTTCTCCTACCAGGGGGAACCCCACATCGTCTTGGCACAGCCCTTCGCTGGCCGCTGCCTGATCCTCTCCTGGGACTACAGCCTGCAGCGCTTCCGGCCGGAGGAAGAGCTGTCCGGTGAGCCCCCTTCCCATCCTCCTGCCTGCCCAGTAGCCTGCCTGACAGGCCTGACCTGCCCCCCAACTCCCTACAGCGCCCTCGGTGGTGTCCTGCAAGCCGCTGGTGCTGGGCCTGCGCCTCTTTGTGCTGGCCGCCCGCCTGTGGGGTGGCTCACAGCTGTGGGCACGGCCCAGCCCCGACCTGCGCCTGGCCCCGATGCAAGTCCTCGCTCCGCGGCGGCTGCTGCGGCCCAATGATGCTGAACTCCTGTGGTTGGACGGGCAGCCCTGCTTCGTGGTGGCCGATGCCTCCAAGGCAGGCAGCACCACGCTGCTGTGCCGGGATGGACCTGGCTTTTACCCACGCCAGAGCCTGCATGCCTGGCACCGGGACACGGACGCTGAGGCCCTCGAGCTGGATGGCCGACCCCACCTGCTGCTGGCCTCGGCCTCACAGCGGCCTGTGCTCTTCCACTGGTTTGGTGGCCGCTTCGAGAGGCGTACGGACATCCCTGAGGCTGAGGATGTCTATGCCACACGCCACTTCCAGGCTGGTGGGGATGTGTTCCTGTGCCTGACACGCTACATTGGGGACTCCATGGTGAGGCTGAGCTCCATCAGGTGGCGCGGGCAGCAGAGGACACAAGCCAGGCCTGACAATGCAGCTGACCCCATTGAAGGCTGGCTTTTCAGCACTGACCACCCAATGTGGGCTGGTCTTTCAGCACTGACCTTACCTTGCACACTAGTCTCTAAACTCTGACCCAGCCTCACATGCTCACCTTTGAACTCTGACCCTATCCCTACACTGACCACAAGACTGACTGTGACCCCTTGAGGCTGGCTAATTCTAAATCACTCCCCATCCCCCAGCACTGACACTGGCCCCAAGTTTCTGATTCTACCCTCCAAATTCTGGCTCTATAACTCTGACACTCTGCAGGACTTACATTTAGCCATAGTCATGGCCATCCCCACCCTGACACTCTGAACTCCCAATGCCAATGCTGGTGTCAAGCCCTGCCCACACCCTCCAGCACCCTCTTTCTGGAGTGAGGTGCAGCCAGGGGAGGTTTCGGAGCCTAGAAGGGCCCTGAGCTGATTCAGGTGTACACAGGGTCTGTGTGTGGGGAGCAGACTGTGGGGACAGTGACGGGAGCAGGAGACCAGGGAAGAGGCTGTCGTAACATCCAGGCAGGAGGGGATGGAGTCTGGGTCGAGATGCAGCCAGAAGAAGTGGGTGAAACATTAAACTATAGTAGGTAAAACCAACAGATTCCCTTGCTGTCTGATTCTAGGTTGGTGTGAGGGAGAGAAGGGCCAACAATAACTCCAAATCTGTGACCTAAGCAGCTGGGTGGTGACACTTATGAAGATAAGAAAGCTGCAGGAGTTTGGGGACCTACAGGCTTCTGTTTCCAATGGGCCTGGAGGACTAGGGGCAGGCCTGGCCTCTGGGACCTCAGGGCCTAACTTGCCACCACCCACAGGTCATGCGCTGGGACGGCTCCATGTTTCGCCTGCTGCAGCAACTTCCCTCACGGGGTGCCCACGTCTTCCAGCCGCTGCTTATCGCCAAGGACCAGCTGGCTATCCTAGGCAGTGACTTCGCCTTCAGCCAGGTCTTCCACCTGGAGCCTGACAAGGGGCTTCTGGAGCCGCTTCAGGAGCTGGGGCCCCCGGCCTTGGTGGCCCCCCGTGCCTTTGCCCACATCACCATGGCTGGCAGACGCTTCCTCTTCGCTGCTTGTTTCAAGGGCCCCACACAGATCTACCAGCATCACGAGTTAGACCTCAGTGCCTGAGACAGACAGGACCCTGCACATGGCTGGGGGGCTGACGTAGGGAGTCTTAGGTCTCTGGACACCCCTTTGGCAGGCCTCCTGGCCCCACTTGGGATGACGGCCAGTCCTGTGAGATACTGGCCACAGGTCAAGTTCATCAGCCCCAGGTCCAGGCCCTGGCCCACTTCTTGGAGGGTCTGGGCTCACTGGGGTAATGGAAGGTCTCAGCCTACTGGACCTTCTGAGCTGGCCTTCCAGTCTGAAGCAATATCTTGGCTGGGACAGGTGCCCCTACCAAAGGAGACTTGGAGGCTCAGGCTGGGGCGCTGCATGGAGCCGGAATACAGAAGTCAAGGTGGGAGAGATGTGCAGGGGTCTGCTAGCTGTCCTCTCAACCCCGGGGCGGGGGCGCCTCCCCTCTCCCCGCTCCCCACGGCAGTACCGAGGAGACAGCGCTCCTTGGCGTTCCTTTCCCTCTAAACTCAATCCCACCAATCGCTCCCACGGAGGAGTGCCCGCCTCCGTGACGTGCCAGTCGCCGGGCGGTCCCCCTAGCCCGGCTTGCAGACTCCCTGCGCTGCTTCTGCGCATGCCTGCTGCCGGGGCCGAAGCCCGGCCCCTCCCCGCTCCTGCGCGTGCGTGGGGGGTGGGGGCGGGGAAGCAGGCAGTCGCGAGGCGTCGGGGAGCCCTAGGTACCCCTCCCCGACGGGCGACAGGGGCGAGGGCACCAAGTGTACGAACTCAATAAATGCGCTGTGCACCCGCCCCGCCCCACGGGCTCATTGGGAGAGGGGATCTTGTGAGTGGCCTGGAGGGAAGGGTGGCTGCTGTCCCAGGAGCGATGTTTTGGAGAAGAGGTCCCAGGGACGCAGTGTGGCTGCCCCTGGTGAACTGTTGCGGGGTCTCTGTGTGGGCTCGTGATTATGGGGGGGGGGCATGGGATATTTGAGGGATATAAGGGAACTATTAGGGGTCAGGTCACGTTTATTGACTCTTGGGGTTGTTGTCTCAGGCATGCAGGCGATATTTTAGGGTGTTTTAAGCATTTTATGGGGTGGCTCATGGGAACATTCTGGATGCCTTATTAGGTATTGGGGAGTATCAAGGGAATTTGAAGCTCGTTGGAAGTTCTTATATCATGTGGCCATTGTATATTATTAGGTGCATCATTGGGAATTACTTAAAGGTCTCAGGTACATCTGAGTATTTAGAAAGGTTTCATAATAAGGTGGGGTCTCAGGGGCGAATGAGAGGGTCTTAGGTGTCTTACTATTATAATCATAAACTGAGTACTCCCATCACGGTAGGATGATCCTACATCTTAGTTTTCCTGGGATAGCCCCAGTGTCCACCTGGCTGTCCCAGCATTCCATTTGGTTAGGGGTCTCTTTCACTCTCAAAAGTGTCCCATATTTGGCTGCTAGAAAATGTTAAAGTACACATGAGGCTCCCATGGCCATGGAGGCAGAGGGCAGACCCTATGCCCTCTACCAAGTCTTGAGGGAGCAGGCCTTTCCCAGCAAAGAGATTCGGTGCCAGCTTTGATGTCAGCCCCCAGTTCAGGTCCACCTTCTCCTGGCCCCCCAAACCCACCCTTGTGCCCACATAAGGAGTCTTGAGGCTGCTTGGGCAGAAGGCAAAATCATTTTAGATTAAAAATTGACCCCTCCAATGAGAGGTGAGATAAGACCCTGGCAAGGTGGCCTGAGTCAAGCAGGGAGAATTCCATCTCAGAGTTCAGACCCTTGTGCTGAGCCAGGACATAGGGACAGAACAAGCCCCTGCATGTGCTCTTTTGGCTGGTCCATCCTCAGCAGTTATCAGCAGAGCCTGGGAGAAGTGGTGGGGTCAGCTTGTGAAGGTGGACAGAGTTCTTTCTCCCAATGTGCATGCGCCACGTGCACACGCGTATGCACCCCTCCCTTCCCATGTTCCCCTCAGCCCCATGCTGTCCCAGTCTTACCTGGAGTGATCAGAGGTGGAGCGTCCCCTGGACGGTGACTAGAGAAACAAACCCAGTGAGATCTGTATCCACCCCCATTTGTCCTCCCCCTCAGGACTAGAGGATTCTAAGCTTGTCCAGACATGGCTTCCTGGCTATTTTTCTTTTGTAGGGTTGTACAATCCTGGGGACCAATGCTTTTCAGGATTTGGGGCCCTCTGATGATTATCAGCTATGAATAATATACCTGGGAAAACTTAGTGGTAGGAACTCTCCAGGGCAGAGCCTGGAGGCCTGTCCTCTTTCTTCCAGATTTAGCTCTTTGACCCTGAAAAGCACCTATCCAGCATGAGGCAGGCATGCCAGGAACCCATCTTACCTGGGCTTCTGGCTGAACCTGCATTTGCATTTTCCACCTGTTGGGGACAGGTGGAATGTTCAGGGGAGGGGACCCACAGCCCTGCCCTTCCTGCTACCCTGCCCCCCCCCCCCCCCCCCCCCCCCCCCCCCCAGCTCCTCCACTCACTCATGAGGACAATGATGCCCAAAGCACACAGAATCCCTGCGCAGATGAGCCCACCGACCTGGAGGCTGTGCCAGTCTAGGAGAAAAGCAGAACGGACCTCAATGCCAGCCTGTGTCCTCCCCATCCATCCCCCCATCCATTTGACAAATAGGTATTGAGCACCTAGAAGAGAACAGACAAAAATCCCAGCCCTGCACCAGCAAACAGGACATGTCAAGTAGGTTCAGGCAGAGATAAGCGGTCTGAAGAAAATCAAGCAGGGTAGGGGATAGAAAGTCAGAGGGCGGCCCTTTTAGAGAGAGGGGTCAGGGAAGGCCGCTCCAAGGTGGCCACATTTGAGCAGAGGCCGGAAGGAGTTGTGTGGATATATGGAAGAAAGTGTTCCAGGTGGAGGGATCAGCAAGAGCAAAGGTCCGGAGGCTGAAGGGAGTCTGCTGTGCCTGAGGGACAGCAGGGGGCCAGTGTGGCTGGAGCAGGAGTGACGGGGGTGGAGGAGGGGTGGGGAGCGAGGAGGGGGTGCAGATTGGTGGAACCTGAAGGTGGAGTAGCTCACCTCCTCCAGGAAGTTTTCTCAAGTCAACCCTTCTCTCAGCAGTTGATTTGAACCAAACAATGGCTTCTTGTGAACTGTCCCCACTTCCTGGCTGTGTCTGACTATCTTGCTGGAATAGAATCTTCCCAAAGACCAAGTTGCCATCTCTTGTTCGTTTAATCCACTGTGTTTCCTGTTCGATGGCCCAGTCCTAACCCCTTCCTATCCTTGCCCCTGTTTGTACCAGCCACATCAGACCCTCACCCAACCCTGTGTGGGACCCTTGGCACAAAATAGTATGTGGGGTTGAGGGCGAGGTGAAGTGGGGGCACAAGCTCTCACCATAGTAGAAAGGACTGTTTTTATCTGCAAGGAAAGAAAAAAGAAAATGAATCCAGGATGCAGGGGTCCCAGGAGGAACTTGGGGGTGGGACAGGTAGAGGCGCCCAATCTGACTCACCTTCAGGGTCGTTGGCATCCAGGGCAGGCAGGCCTGGTGGGGAGAAGCGGGGAAGGAGGGGGGGATGGTGTTGCTGGCCTCAGCCAAGCCTCTCAGAACGGCCAGTGAAGCCTCAGGGCCCTCAGGAGAGGGTCCCATGGGGGACAGTTCCCCACCTCCCAGGGCATAGGGGTCCTGCCCCAGGTGAGCTGCCTCTGCACATCCGCCCATGGAGTCGTGGACTCGCCCACTCTGCCCCACACCTTCCAGTCATAACAGCACTTTGCCACCTGAAATAGGTGCTAAGCCAGGTGGGTTTTGGCCACCACTTGCTCCTATGTTTCCAGACACATGGTTAATGCATGCTTCCTGCAGATACAGAGGACTTTTCTTGTCAAGATGACAGATAGTTTCCATTCCAGTGCCCTCTTTTCTCAAATCCATTCATTCTTGTGGCCCATCTTCCTGATTCTGCCACATCTTGTGCTGCTGTTTGCTCACCAAAAACTTTAAAACGACTCACTCTTATATACTTAAATATCCTTTATATAAAAATGCAACTTGGTCCATTTTCACCATGATTAAAGGAAATAAATAAATAAACGAAAAATAAAAAAAAATAAATGCAACTTGGCCTGACCAAGTACAGTGGTGTTTACAACTAATGGATCACAGCCAGTTACAGATTTCTTTGTTCCTTCTCCACTCCCACTGGCTCACTTGACTGGCCTTAAAAAATTTTTTCAATTTAAAAATAAATAAATAAAAATGCAACTTTACCTCACTACCCTAAATGGAATACCAGTCTTGCCCAGTGTAATGGAGAAGAAGAAATCCAATGAGAGCAAAAGACTAGGATTAAATTCTGGCTGGAAGCAGCGGGCTACCTTAGCTCTGGGGCTAAACTCTGTTGAAGAGAGATTAATACTTTTTAATTATATTTAAAGCACAAACACACAGAACTTATTCCGTACCAGGCACCGTTCTAGGCACTTTTCAAATACTAACTCATTTAATCCTTGCAGTGACTCTATGAGTAGGTGCTATCATTCCCCTCATTTTTGCACATGGGGAAACTGAGGCACAGAGGGTTTTGGTCACTTGCTACACAACCACTAGGCTCCCAGTTAACTCTTGTAATAAAAGTGTTGGGGAGATGTGAAAGACACAGTAGCACTGGGCTGAGCCTTCTCCTTCATGTCCTCAGATTTACAAGAGAACGGGCAAGATGGTGATTTTGTAGCTGTGTGAGCTGCTGCTATAAGGGGCCCTATCCTGTGTGTCCTTTGAAGTCACTAAGAACATGTTGGCCTAGTAGCCAACACCTCCCCAGGGGAGGCAGAAAAGCATGACACACACACACACACACACACACACACAAACACACGCAGGAGGGTTGGCCACCACCCAACTTGGGGCATCCAGGGGAAAGAGCATTTTGGGGGTTGGGTACTCACCTGCCAGGAGGACGAGAAGGCTCAGGGCCACCTCTTGCATGTTAGAACACTGGCCTAGAGGGGCACGGAGGTGGGTCCAGCTTTAGCAGGGCCACCAGGATACTGGGCTCTGTGCCCCTGGTTCCCACCACCCTCCTCTCCGGCACCCACCCAGGGCATGGCTGGTGTTGAGACTCCCTGGGCTGAGAGATAAGAAGGAGCCACACAGTGAAGCGGGGGCTGGGTGAGAACTCAGACCTGATGAGGAAGCAGCTGTAATCACTCACTGGACACAGACTTCAGGCTTTGAGTGAGTCACCCTGGCAACAAAATGAGGGAGGTGCTGCCTGTTGTTATCCTCATCCTACAGATGGGGAAACTGAGGCTATGAGAGGTGAAAGTAGGTGCCCAGGGTCACCTGGCCAGGAAGCAGGATTTAAACAGGCCTGGCTCCCCAGCTGCTGTTCCTAACTCAGGACTGTCAGGGCCTCGGGGTGTTTTGGGAAATAGTGTATTGGGTGCCAGGTGGCAGGCGGCCCGGGTTCCTGGGAGCCTCTCCCATAGACAGCTCAGAGCCTGCCGGGCTCTGCCCAGGCTTTGCAGATTTCAGGCTGGGGAATGGGGCTGGCTCCTTGGGCTGCTCAGGGCAGTGGGTGGGGAGAGAACATGAGGCTGGGGTAGAGGGTCAGGGGAGGACAAACTCCTGCAGCTCCAGCTCCATCTTCTGTCCCAACTGCCCCTGCCCAACCTTAGTCCCCACCCTCCCCCACCCATCCCTAACCCCTGGCCCAGCCTAGCCCAGGCCCCCATCCCATGCAGCCCCTGCTCTCACTCCCCAGGCCCTATCCAGCTCCTCCTGGCAGCAAACACTTGTCTGCCCCCTGGTAGGCCTGCCTAGAATAAAGTACTCTTCTTTCCCCTTGCTGCCCTGGTAGCTGTCCTGTCCTCCTACAACCCTGTGTGCCTGCTATAAGCCCCCTGGCCTCTGTGCACCCCCTGCCCTCTCCCTGCTCCCTGCCCAGCTGCAAAAAGCATACGTTGTCACCATCTTGATAGCAAGAGTTAACACTCCGCCTCACCTCTCTGGACACTGCCAAATGACCTTGCTGTGCTTTCAGTCACTGAACCCCCAACAACCCCTGAGGTCAGCTATTATGTCCCCATTTCACCAGTGGCAAAACACGTGTTCAGGGAGGGGTTTGGTGCAGGTGCTTTACTGCATGCGCACAGACTACTGTCTCCACGTGCCTGCCCCAGGTCCCGGGAATCTTCTCAGCTTCCGTATTAATCCTGCATGCTGGACTCATAATTTTAATTTGAGCATCTGTTTTCTGCAGGAAGAGGGCCTGTAGCTTTGGGGAGCATTATCAAGGCATCTAGGACCCCAAAGAGTTTTGGGGAGAGCCGGAGTGGGTGGTTCCGGCACAGATTGGTAAAGGGGCTGCCTGCTGTCTAAAGCCACTCATGAGGCTCTGTTACCATGACGGTGCTAATACTAGTAATAACAGCTAATGCTTATTGAGCATTTACCGCATGCCACGCACTGTTCTTAGCTCTTGACACCTATTCATTCACCCATATAATCTTCGCAGCTTGATGAAGTTGGCACCATCATTATCCCACGTTATTGTTGCAACCCTGTAACCCCTGCGAATTCTGCTTATTGTCTGTCATATGCTGTCATCCAGTGACTGCTGAGTTTCACCTCTTAAGCCTCTTTCTAGGGGCTCCTCCAAGCCACCCCTGGCCTGTGAGGCCCCCACTCCTCCCCATTCCCACGGCATCTCCAGCATCCCCACACAGAGGAGACTGGTGGATGATTTCAGCTGCACCCCGACCTCTGCACAGCCATTTCCAGCCAGGGCTTTTCCGGAGGCTGCTGGGAGCTGGGAGGTGGGTGCCTGCCCTCACTGTCCTGTTCAGGCCACTGTCAGAAGAGGCCCCTGGGCCAATCCTGAACTGACCACAGTTGGTGGGAAGGCAGCACTGCAGCTGGATGCTCTCGGTCCCCACTCCTGGCTCCTTCCTGGCCATGGAGGTCCCAAGGCCATCCTGAGGACTGTCTCTGCCTCTGCTTGCCTCTCTGTTTCTCCATGATGGTGGAGAATGTCCCCAGCTTCAGGACTGTGCAGAATGAGCCTTCCCCTCCGCGTCCCTGAAATCTCCTAGCCAGCGGCCCATTTCACAGCTTCTCCAGGCAGCACCATCCCCTTTTCCTAGAGGTCTCCAGGACCCACATGCTCCCAATACCTAGACACCCACTCATGCTCCATCCACCCAGGCACACCCCGTTCACTTAGATAGCCCTGGTCCACTTAGATACCCCATCCACCTAGGCACCCGCTCCCCACTCCCATCCACTCAGGTACCCCCAATCCAGATACCTCTGGTCCATCAGACACTGCCAATCTACCCAGACACCACTCGTATTTCCAGACACCCCAATCCCACTTCTGGGTCTTACCTTCACCCTAACTGGCTCACCCAGTCCCTGAGAAGAGAATGATGGGAGAGGGTCATACTAGGGAAGCCTCCAATCTCCTGCCCCCAGAAAAGGACTTTAAAGTGGGAGGATTCTAGGGTCTTTAACAGCAGAGCTACTAAGTGGTAGGGGCAGTGGTGGGGGAGAGGCAGGGAGAATTTGGAGGCAAAGCCAAGGCGGCTTGGAGGGAGGGGCCCCAGCTGCTCACCTGTGTGTCTCACGCAGGTTCAGGGAGAAATCGGGGCTACCAGGCCTGAGTTTGCCTTTATCCACAGTTGCCACGCCCTAAGCAAACCTGGGCAGGTAGAGAACAAGTCGTACTCCCTAAGGCTCAGGGGCTCTCCCACCCCATTCCTGCTCTTAAAGAGACAGCTCCACCCCCTCCCAGCCACTGGCGGCAGGGAGGTCCACAGGGTCACCAAGGTCACAGCAGTTTCAGGTGAAGAGGAAAGGACAATAAAATGGCTGGAACGCAATCCCTTGAATTAAGGGAGGGGCTTTCTGGAATCTCCTGTGTCCACAAAAGGACCTTGAAGCGGGGAGGTTCTCGGGTCCTTAGCATCAGACGTTCTTCTGGCAGGGTCTTGGAGGAAGGTGATGTGTGGATTGTGTGTTTTGCTTCGGAAAAAGATTGCTGGCAATTATGGGGGCCTTAAAGTCCCCTTCCAGGACACATCTTGCCATTGACACAGTTTGAGGGTCAGTAGAAGACGCTGGTGCGACCAAGGTCATGAGATGCAGGTAGGGGTGGGTGCAGGAAAGAAACTGGAACAATGAGCAGGGGTGGGGGTCGGGGGATGTGGGATCTTAGACCAGGCCCTAACCCCCACCCTGCCCTGGGGAGACTGAGAACTGGCTCCCAGTCACCAGGCCAGAATTTCCCAGCCTGGGCTCTTCCCAAGGGTGCTGGGAACCAGATGCCTGGATCTATAGAGCGGGCAGGGTGTTGGGGTAGGGGGCCGCCTACCACTCCAGGTCAGACCCCTCTGCACTGGGCCAGGCTCCCTCCGCCTTCCCCCTATTTCCTTCTCCCTCTCCTGCCCCTCCTCCTCACAGCATTCCTTCCGGCTGGGGTCTGTGCAGGCCCCCACATGGTCCCAGTTGGGGGTGCCCCCTCCCCCCAATTCCGCCTTCTTGGACAGAGGGACTTTTGTCTGGGGGCTGGATAGAGAACAAGGCGCCTTTGAGTGGCTGGCGGAGGATTGGGGTCACAGGGAGGGGCAGGGCCAGGAAAGGGGTGGCTCTGTACTGGCCACCAGATGGACTCCAGGCGACCCCCAACACCCTTGTGGGGGTGGGGAGGAGGGCCGCAGGAGCCAGGCCAGGGAGAGGGAGCTACTGGGAGTGTGCAGCACAGAACAAGGAAAGGGGGCTTGAAGTTCAAGGCTCTGCCAGGGACTGGTCGGTCTGCTGAGGGCAGGAAAAAGAACCCCCTAGTTCATCCCTCATTAGGGAGGGATGAGGGCAAGGAATGCTCACCCAGCTACGTGCTTTCTTTAGGCGGTTCCCTTGGGCAATTTCTCAACCCCAGGCCCTAGACTAGGACAAAGCCTCCTCCCACTCTCTTTAAGGAGGGGCCCACCCTCCTTAATGGGAGGAGGAGGGAGCGGAAGGAGCACTCAGGGCGGGGCTCAAAGTAGGAGGTGCATGGAGAGAGAGAAACAGAGGAAGGGGAGGTCTGGGGGTGGATGGGTGGGATCCCAGTCCAGCTAAGGGGGACTTTGTGTCTAAGCACATAGCATCTCGTGCCCCGACTGAAGACTTCAAGATCGAGTGTCCCTGGGAAGACCCCTTGGTGGTCTTGGGAATGGAGTGGTGTCTCCCTCTGCTGGGAGGCCTAGGAACTGCAGGCGTCAGAGAGCCGGTGGGGACCTGTGCACGTGGCTGGGGTGAAAGTGCTCTGTCCTTCATCTGGACCACAGTCTGCGACTCAGATGCTAGAGGAGCCAGGCAAGAATGGTGAACGAGTGACGCGGGACAGGTGTGAGACCATAAGACATGGTGGCAACTAAGAAAGGCTGGAGCAAGCCCCTTGGATAGATACAGAAATATCTCCCAGATACCTGGTGTAGGTAAAGTGTGGAGTATGCTGCCATTGTGAGGGGGAAATAATGTATAGGCATATGCTTGTATATGAATAAAATATCTCTGGAGATTGGCACCCATGGTTGCTTCTGGGAAGGGGAACTGGGAAGCCGGAGGATGGGGTGGAAGTGAGGCCCACTCTTCATCACCTGCCTGCCCTCTTGTACCTTTTGAATTTTATTTTATTTATATATTTTTGGCAGTTGGCCTATACTGCCTTTTGAATTTTATATTCTCATGCACTACTGTAAAATGTTCTATCTTTTAAAAGTTCAATTAAAAAAAATTAAGGGATCACCTCTACACAGTTCCAGCCAATCAGTGCTATATTTTCAAAAGATGTCAGAAATCTGAAAATGGGCGATTTCCAGTATTAAAAGATGGCTCAGATTTTTTTTAAAAAAAATATGCAGTTTGGACAAAACACATCTAAGGTCTGGTTTCAGCCTGGGGGACCACCAATAAAGACTTCTGACAACTTTATTTCCTGGATCTTTAGTCACCATGATCTTACATTCTGATGTACAGATGTTTATGGGGCTGATGCCCAACCCAGGCCAACCATAAATAATTCCTAGGCTGGACCTGAACATACCACATCCAAGTGTGTGTTGGGGGGTTATAGCCAGGAGGACTGAGCCCCCGTGTGGAGGGGCACATTGAG